CCCCGTCCGCCCCCCCCCCCCCCCCCCCGTAACTGGTAGTAGGAAAGCTCCACTAGGACTGAGGTACCAGCATTGCCACTGGTGTATTTAGTCCAGGTTTTTTTAAAGTTACACCCAGAACAAGGCCAGGATGTCAGAAGGAACCCTCAGCTCCATGACACCCAATACTAGGATACTCAGGCAGCCACCCTTCTCTGCTCAGCTTGTCTGAAGCCAGATGACAGCAAAAAAGAAGAGAGATAGTTGCAAAAGAGGTGCAGCCAGGCTTGCAAAGTACAGATTATTGCTGCCCAGGTTACTGAACAGCCTTTCCTTTGCTTGCTCACTGCTCCCAAGTACACTGAGCAAAAGGGCTCCAACTGTGTTGGGGCGCAGGCTGACAAGAGAAAAGCTGCTCCATCCCAAGGTGACACTGTCTGCTCTATGTTCTGGGCAGCCTTGCCCAGGAGGAGGTTAGGGCGAAGCGGCTGATGGTGGGGTTACCTGACTGCCCCTCTTGCTTTCATGGAATCTCCTTGAGCTGACCCTGGGCTTTGGTGACAACAGAGCTTTGGGAAAGTCATTCAGCTCTTTTGCTTTCCTTATCACCAACTGAAAAGATAAACAAGGGGCTTTGCTTCCAGAGGCAGACCTGCAATAGATTGACAGTTAATGAGAAAGAAACCAGGAGGGTGGAGTAAACATGACCACACTGAGAAGGCACCTTCTACTCCATGCCACTGAAGAAAGATCCAAAACCTGGTGTGCTAACTGGGAAAACAGTACCATGGTGAGAATGGAATCCAGCACCAAACCCTATCTTTGAAAAAGAATATATTTTTACCATATCTTCTTTTGTCAGGTTAATATGGTATGCATTGAGATTCTAAGGATGTTTACTCAGTGGTGTGTCTTGCATGTTTGATATAAAGTTACTCTGTAGTAAGTGTCTTTGAGAGCCAGTTTGGTGTAGTGGTTAAGAGTGTGGACTCTGAGAGAACCGGGTTTGATGCCCCACTCCTCACATGGAGCTGCTGGTGTGACCTTGAGTCAGTCACAAGTTCTCTCAGAGCTGTTCTCTCAAGGGCAGTTCTTGAGAGAGCTCTCTCAGCCCCACCTACCTCATGTCTGTTGTGGGGAGGGGAAGGGAAAGGGATTGTAAGCCACTCTGAGACTCCTTCAGGTAGTGACGTGCGGGGTATAAATCCAATCTCCTCCTCCTCTTCTTTAGAATTGTGGTGAAATCCAAGAAAAGCTTTACTGCTTGGTTCTGCTGAATGCAGAGCATGGTTCTAAGAGTTTGTGAATGGCTACGCTTCCTGCACACTGGTGCCTCAGAACTGGAAGATCCCTTTACGTCCCAGAAGCACATGTTGTAACATTTTAGTGTCTGTGAACAGATCATGCCTATGTCATTTTGTTGTTACTGCTGCCAATTTTTTTCCTGTAGCCCATGATGCATATGTTTGCTTTGCTTGGCATTACATGGCAATCAGGCTTTGAAGAAAAGCCTACATTCACCCTGAAGGCACATTCCACATCAAGCGCCAGGAGCAGATGACAGAAACCAATTAATCGACAAACAGGTCCTTTAGGCTGTTAATTACACAAATGCTTAACTGCTGATTCTTAGAATCTCCTTGTATCAGATAACAGAGATACTCACACAGGCTAATCTTGTCTGGCTAGACAAGGCTGGAAGTTAAAGTAATATTGTATCTGCTTCTGCAGCACAAATATTGTACCAAGGAGCAGGCTGAGATTATGCTTTGTATTTTTTTTTCATAACCAGTATTTGTTTATTCTCCTCTCACATTAATTTAAGGGAATTGCTAAGTTAGTTGGCCTGTGCCTTTGGAGCAGCACATCTGGAAGTCTCTGTCTGTTCCAGCAACAAGGACCTGATGACACACAGTCACAATCCACAGAACTCCAGGTGTGTCATCTACATATCCCATTCAACACTAAAACATAATTAATAATCTACGGAGGGCTACTCAGTGCACAGAGCTGCTGTTAGAATTTTGTACTGTCAAGTTGCAGCCGACTTATGGTGACCCCCAGCGAGGGGCTTTCAAGGCAAATGAGAAGCAGAGGTGACTTGCTATTGACTTCCTCTGCAGAGTCTTCCTTGGTGGTCTCCCTTCCAAGTACTGTTCCTGCTTAGCTTCCGAGGTATGATGAGATCGACCTATACCATGTCGCCTTGCCTCCTGCTGTTGGAATTACAGACTCAATATTCACATAGGAAAGAGAGCAGCTTGGGCCACCTATGAGCCTAGGTGCTGCTAAATACTTGGGAGGTGGTCACACCACAAGCGTTCTTGTTTTGACCATGGAATGAGACAGCTCCAGCAGAATTAATGGCTATACCTGTTGCCTCAAGGCCTACGGGATCAAAAAAACAACACCTTGATTTCTCTGGAACTGGGGCAGCAAAGCAGGCCAATCCATGCTGTAGGCAGTCTTTCATTTTTGGATGACATGCTGATAAGGAGACCTTGCTGCACCAGCAGGGCATTAACATGACACATAAACCTTTTTGAGGACACCTACAGGCCACTGAAACCCATCCCCTGAAGCAGGAGCCAACACCAGCCTTTTCACAGTAGATAAAACCACGTCCCATTAAGATAACATGTCATCCTTCCCTTTGTTCTCCCTGGCCTCTGCAAGCAATTTAGAGACAGGGATCTCTCTCTTTTATGTGTAATTGCTGTTACCTGCAACCTGCCCTTGAGCTCTTCCAATAGCACTGGCGCTGTGTCAAAATAAAATAAAGCCCCAAGAACACTTAGTATTTTGTATGAACACAGAACAATTAGGCAGCAACAGACCATCAAGGTGGAGGCCAGTTGCTCTTGCTGTGCCATAGGCCACTGGCTAGGCACCCCCTGGGCCTCATTTTCAGACTCAACTCAGTCAGGCAAGGGCTGAATGAATTATGTACTAGCATAATGCCTAGGACAACCGAGCCCAAAAGTTGGATGAGGCTTCCAGGAGCTGCTGCTAATTAAAACAGTAGCGGCACAGCAGGGACTGTTCATAGGAGAAAAAGAGAGAGTCATCCCACTGACACCATAGCCTCACATAGCTGCTGTGTTCTCATCAAACTCAAAGATGGCACGTTAATAACCGGTGGGCCCTATTAAAGGATGCCAGGCCACTAAACAGCATCCATGTGAGCTTTCTGGGCATGGCCAGGGCCAGAAATGATGTCCAGCAATATGTGACCACCCACCCACCCAACCTAAAACCTCAATGTGACATAAGCACATTGGGTGATGCTTTGGCTGTCCCCCAAAACTATGGGCTTTTCAGGGACCACTAGAGCATTGCCTGACACACTTCCATCACATCCAGGTTTTCAAATGGATGTGACACCATGTGTCTCTGGATATTATTTCTGGCCCGGGCATTTTCTCCTGCCACTCAAGAGGCGTAAAGGCAGGATGGAGAGTCGAACCCCTGGGAGGCCTCCAACTATAAGCAGGGAAATGGTCTCCCTAGCCCAGTTTCACCTCTGCTGTGGTTTTTGTGGCCCCACCATCCTTGACATGCCACACATTGCATGAAGTACAATGATATCATAAGTAAAAGGGAGTTTAGTCCCTAAGTAGCTCGGCAAGTGAGAGCCCAGCCCCCTCAGGCCTGAGAAACTGGAGACCCCGAAGAACTGCCTGAAAGGACTGGATAGAAAATGGAGACCAATTTTTCTATGGTTTGATGCCTCTTTTGCATTTATTCACCTCCACCTAGGGCCTAATCTACCTGCCCATGAAGCAAGAAGCCGGAGTAAGCATGAATAATCCTGCCCCTAACCTCACAGAATCCATTAATTTAGCAAAATCAGCACAATCAAGGGAAGGCAGCTGATAAACCTAAGCACCTTTTAAATCCAACTGGTCTAATAGTATTTTAGTATATACTAGGGAGACAGTTCACACTGACCCGTGGGCTCTCGCTTTTATCTACAAACGCAAAGACCATAAAGCAGTCTTTTACGCTCATGATTTTTTAAAAAGAAAAAAATGCCCAAGCATCAGCAAACTGGAGTTTATAAAAACATAATAAATATATATATATTTTTCTTTCGTAATTGAAAAACAAGGTTGAATAGGCACCTATAAAATCCACAATCAATTCAATTCATGACAAATGCTTGTACAATTCATACACAATGTACAGAAGAGGGATGGATGACGGTGTGTGGGAGGCTATGCTCTTCCTGCCAAGCAAAGTCAGTCGAATAGAAAGCATTGCTTCCTATTCCACTCTGAATTCCCTTTCTAATTGTGCAAGACTCAGAATTTCTTCCTTCTCCTGAAGCTGGCTTTGGTTTGTTGCCGATCGCCTGAGCCTGTGGCCAACTGTTTTTTAAAGTCTACTAGGCAGCTTTTGGCTTCTGAAATAGAGGTGAAGGATTTAATAGGAGAGTCACTGCAAGAGGCATGGGGAAAATGGCTCCAGTCATCCTTGTCACACTCAGCCTCCTTGTCCACCTCTGGTGAGCTGCACCTGGCAGAAGGAAAGTGCAAAAAATACATTATTATTATTATTAGCAAAAACAGGCAACACTCTCAAAAAGTCTGCATGTTGCACCATGGCACTGTAAGCCACCGTCTTAGAAACTGAACCCTTTCTAACAGTTTCCTCTTCAGTTCTGTTACTAGTGACCTCTACTGACTGGGAGATGATCATCGTCCACTCTTTTTGACCATTGATGCATGAACTAGATCAGAGGTGTCAAACTCATTTGTTACAAGGGCCAGATCTGACAAAAATGTCACTTTGTTGGGCCGGGCCATGTGTGCCATAAAACATAATGCCAGGTACCGGAGATATAAACTGTATAAAGGACAGCAGCTGGTAATCTCTGAGTTGGTGTGCCCTCACCGCAAGACCCCATGGGCTAGAAGGGGGGTGCAAAGGAAAACCCACACGGGTGGACTGGAGAGCCAGCAGTGCAGCACTGGGCTGACGCTCCCACACTGCTTGACTGCTGCAGATGAGGTTGTTCCACCATGCTGAAGCCACAATCAGAGTGACTCCGCCCACTCCCCCCCCCCAGCAGTCTCCTGTTCCCTCCCTTGCACTAGTTGCTCGCGGGCCGCATAAGAACCCTGAACGGGCTGGTTCTGTCCCCCAGGCCTTAAGTTTGACACCCGTGAACTAGATGAATGGCAAATTAGGAGAGTTTCCAGTGCCACAAGATCAGAAGCCCCAAGATTAGAAAGGAAAGATTCTACAGTCTGGTGCATCTAACAACCTGACCTTGATGAAAAGCTACCTGGACTCTGAGCAAGAAGGAAATGACCAGGGCTCCTTTGCGAACAACATAAGCTGTTGGTTTGGGCTCCTCCCTGGATCAGCTTTTCTCTTGGCTTTGGCCCTGGATACTGTCTCTCAGACAAGAGTGGCCCTGCTTTTTGCTAGAGCCCTTCTTAGCTGCTGACAGAACCTGTGACAGAGGAGTCGTTAGCTAACCTTAAGTCTTCTCCAGACTGTGTGGCCCCCGTCTCTCCATCTGAAATGAGAACAGATCACAAACTCTTAACTAGGACAGACCCCTCCATTCCAGCAACACTACTGGATGCTGGCCTCTTGAGAGCAGGCAAGGCCATCATTCCAGTGGACATGCAGAGAAAGAATAGTCCTGGCTAAATGCTCCCGAACTGAATCGGACAAGAAAGGGTAGACTACTGGATTCAGAGTATGCCCTTTCCTTAGCTACAGTCTGGGAGGCACATGGCAGTATTTAAAAAAACAGATTCACCCCGTTTTAATCTTATAACTTCTATAACCCATGCTGCCTATACAAACACAGGGTGAGACCACGTACAAACAGAAAGTTTGGCTCTGAAAAGTTGTAAAATGTACTGTATTTTAAAACGCTATGTGTACCATACAGGGAAGGAGAAGCAGATCATTAAGCTACACAGGCTGATATAAAGTCGTAGCGAAAAACTGAGGTATGAATCAGGAAGTCCCTGGTTACAGTCGCACCTATGGATTTGGCAGATAGCTTTAGGCAAGTCGCTCTGTCTGCCTCAGTCTTCCATCTGCAATAGGGGAATAATACTAACTGACCTTACATCTGACCCACCATGTAAAGATTACCTGATGTACACACAAAGCACTTTGAGCACACAAAAGAACTGTTCAAATGCTAAATATTAGTCTCAGGCTATTCTGCCTTATTGCAAAGCTGACCTATCGAGCATAAAGCACCTACTGATGCTCCTTGAAGAAACACAATTCCACCAATGGCATTTGATCTTACCATGGCTAGCAAGAGCTACAGTAGTGTACAAAGGCCTGGTGCTTTGCTTGTGTACAGACACACATGGTTTTGGGGAGAAGAGCACCACCAAGGCTGAATAAGGAAGAATAGTAGATTAACTGTGCAATAGAGGGCAGTCATATTCAGCAGTGCTACACTAGGGAAAACTGACCAGGTATGCACTAGTGCTGCCCCCCTCCCCCTTTACCTGCAGCTTTGTGTTCGGACTGCTCCAACAGGTTTAGGAGTCGGCCTTCATTTCTTCCCTCATCCTGTGACAAAGTAAGAGAACATCGTCATGAGGAGTTCCACAAAACAGGACATTTGTTTTCTCCTGGACAGAAGTTAGGGGCATGGGTGCTTGGGAAGAGAATGTTACAGGACAGAAGCAGACTCTGCAAACAGAAGGCTCCCCTTTGTTTAACTGGTAAGCAGGTTTTAACATTCTCTAATTTTGAAACCTCAGATACTTTTGAGAGCTTCATACACTTTGTACTTTCCTGTGCCTAAGGATTTAGAAAAGCTTTGCCAGAAAATGAGAAGGAAGGTTGAATCCCATCAAAACCTGAAACCTGATGCGTATGAGTGCAGGGGGTTAAAGGAGCAACGACTCCTAGATTTCTTGTTCATAAGGGCGGTACATTGGAGAACACTGAAAAAAATTACTTTTGGGTGTTAACAGTGAGGACCAGGATGCAGAAGCTCTAACTCCAGATTTTGCAAGTCTTCTCTGTTGTCTTAATACCATTAGCCTTTTATCTGGGGGATAATCTCCACCTCCTTTCAGAAGAAAACACTGCTGAGGTATCATTGCTGAGGTATACTCCCACTGTGGGTGTCTAAAATACAAACAGAGCAAGGTCTTTATGCCTCCCATGGTTGAGAGGAAAGAAAACTGAGAACAAATGATTTGCCTAGGCCCTAGAGGTTTGCCATCTCTGGGAAAGGGGAGACATCTTATGGGCTTTAACAATCGTCTTGCGTAATACCTTAGCAATGTGTGGGGAAGGATGCTCTTGGATTGCCTGAAGGCTATGTGGGGAAACTGGACTCTCAGTTTTAGTGCGACGCCTGAGGCCTAGGGATAGCTAATTCCAAACGGATGCAAGGGAACATGAGCAGGAAGCTAAACGGAGTCATACATTGTTTTGGACATGCTGACCTCTCGCAACACCCTTTACTTTGCAGATGACACTTTCCACACATGTCTCTCTCTGGCAAATCAAAATGTGAATTGCCACGGAAATAATCCCAGTTCATCAATCCATTTTCTCACTACCAGAGAAACTCACTGCCTTACCATGCCAGCAAGTCAAAAGTCAAAGCAGGAGGGCATCACCTGTTTGTGGGCAGAGATGGGTATTGGGCTGTAGAAAGGGAAGGGCTAAATGGGACTGATTTGGTGAGGGGCTGACAAGAAGAACTTCCAAGAAAGAGACGTAGGAATCCCTCTTGGCAACCCAAGAAGGAAGGTGCTGGGAAAGGTTCAAGAGAAACTCAGGATTTGCTTGCCTGATATACATCTGTCTAGCTGGCACACTATCCCTCCTTCCATGGAGGCAAGGACAACTTACAGGGTTCTCCTATGTTATCTTCATAATAGCCCAAGGAGGTAGTTTAGGCTGAGACCATGGGACTGATCTAAGGCAGCCCAAGGAGTTACTATGAAACTAATGAAGTTTAAGCTTCAGGGCCCCTAATCCTGGAGAGGCCCTGAAGCAACTTTTTTTTTTTTAATGAGTGACTTTTTCAACAAAATTGATGGAGTTTATAAAAGTGTTTGTTATTAAAATAAGGCTATTTTAGTGACCGAACCATAAGCCAATGGGTGGAAGTACTTAATATTGACCTTAGAATATGCTCTAATACCCATTTTATATGGCCTCAAAATGTACTTGTATTCCTTCTGTCTTTATGCCTTCATTGCCATTTCCCGGCAGCTGCGTGGTGTTACGTTACTGTCCATCGGCCGGTAGCACCCTGGCCCTATATCTTGAAGCCTGATCGGGTGGGATGTGGATGACTTCTCCCCCACTGAAGAGAACGAACCTTCAGGTAGGTCCAATGTACCGTTCTCCTTCATTGGGGGGAAGTCATCCAGGAACTGGTTAGCTGTACCCAAGCTGTTGTTCTAGGGTGGGCGATTGGTAAAGTCCCTTTTAGATGTAAGTTACGGTTCCACCACTTGTTGTAAGACTCTTCAGCCAAACGCGGCCTCCGCTGAGGCCACTTGGTCAATTCTGTAGTGTCTCACAAATGTGGAGAAGGACGCCCAGGAGGCCGCCCTGCAAATCTCCTCGACCGCGGCCTGTGTAGAGAAGGCGGCGGTTGTTGCTGCTGCCCTCGTAGAATGTGCGGTGAGCTGGCCTGGAGGTGAGAGTCCCTGAACCTCGTAGGCTTTCGAAATGCACTGTCTAATCCAGTAGGCCAACATGGCCTTGGAGGCCTTCTTTCCTCAATTTGGAGCACTATATGCCACGAACAGACCGTCTGTCCGTCAAAAGGTGGTCGTCCTGTCAATGTACGTACATGGAGCCCTACGCATGTCCAACTTGTGCCAGGTTTTTTTCTTTAGGGTGCGTTGGATTTGGGCAGAACGAAGGTAACGTAATCGGCTGGTTGAGGTGGAAAGCAGAATTGACCTTGGGAATGAAGGACGGGTCCATACGCAAGGACACAGAGTCTTTCTGGAAGATGCAAAGCTCCTTTCTCGCCGAGAGGGCGGCCAGCTCAGATATCCGCCTGGCTGTAGTCACTGCGATAAGAAAAATGACTTTCCATGACAAGAGGTGGAGTTCGGCCCTCCTGAGAGGTTCGAACGGAGGCTTTGTCAAGGCGGCTAAGACCTTGTGAAGGCTCCACGTTGGGAATCTGTGCAGGACTGGAGGAGCCAGCTGCGTTACCCCTTTTATAAACTTCTTGACATAGGTGCTCATGGACACCTTCCGACGTGTCTTGCGACCTATACAAGCCTGTATGGCCACCACTTGTCATTTCAGTGTGTTCGGCCTAAGTCCTTTTTTCCACCCTTCAGAGAGAAACAGTATGACTTCCTTGTCCGTGGCCTGCAGAGGGCGTATGCCCTGTGCCATCGCCCAGCTTGTGAACGCTCTCCACGTATGGCTGTAAATGCGGTGAGTAGAAGGCCTCCTGGCTTGCAGCATGACTTCAACCACCTCTCTGGGAAAGCCCTGGGTCGTTAGTCGCGCGTTCAATTTCCATGCAGTCAGCTGCAGCCACGTTGGGTCTGGGTGGAGAATGGGCCCCTGCTGAAGCAGATCCTGTCTTGGAGGCAATGTCCATGGGTCTTCGGACGACAGCTGAACCAGATCCGAGAACCACGGTCTCCTCGGCCAGTGGCTCTTTCCCGCCTGACTTTGTTGAGTGTTGCCCCTATCAGGGCTGTGGGAGGGAAGGCATACAGGAGACCTTGTGACCAGGGGTGTGATAATGCGTTGACTCCTTCTGCCGCGGGGTCTTGGTACCTAGATATGAACCGTTCCACCTAGTGATTTTGTGAAGTCGCTAGTAGGTCCATTACTGGCCTCCCGAATCATTTTGTGAGCTGAACGAAGACCTCCTTGTTCAGTGCCAATTCTCCCAGGTCCAGATCCTCCCTGCTTAGCCAGTCGGCCTGTAGGTTGGAGAGGCCTTTCAGGTGTTCCACTTTTAAGCTCGCGGTATGTTGTTCTGCCCATCGCAGAAGTACCCTGGCTTTGTGGAAGTGAGACTTAGACCTGGTTCCTCCCTGTCTGTTGATGTGTGCTTTTGTCGACATGCTGTCGGTGCGCACCAGCACATGCTGGTTCTGTATGTGTTGCTGAAAGGCCTTCATCGCCAGCGTAACAGCCCGTAGTTCCAGCCAAATTATGCTGTGGGTGGCTTGTTCTGGGGACTACCTGCCCTGTGTGATCAGGTGGCTGCAGTGCGCGCCCCAGCCCCTTTTGCTCGCATCCGTGGTAACCACGATTTGCTGGGGCTAGAGGAAGCTGATGGTCCTGCTCAGTTTCGATGGCAGTGTCCACCACTGTAGGTTGTTCCACAGTTGTTCTGTGATGTGAATTTGAATGTGCCATTTTTTTGGCAATATCCAACTGAAACGGAAGAAGGGCCCATTGGAGAGGTCTGGCGTGGAACCTCGCCCATGGGATCAAGTCAATTGTGGAGATCATCAGGCCCTGCAGCGTTGCTAGTTGCATCAGGTCTACCTGGTCCTTGACCCTGACGGCCGTCACTAGGGACCGGATCTTGAGCTGTTTTTCCCCAGGCAGTGACACCGTGGCTTGCTTTGTGTTTAGCCTGGCGCCCAAGTGTATTACGTCTTGTGTTGGTGAGAGGTGGCTCTTCTCCTCGTTGATGAGGAAGCCGTGCACAACCAGGAACTCTTTTGTCCTCTGGGTGTAGCAGACCGCCGTCCAAATACGGATGAATGTGTATCCCCTCCTGGCGCAAGGCTGCCACAAGGGTCACGATGACCTTGGTGAACACCCTGGGAGCTGAAGACAGACCGAATGGCAAGGCCTTGTATTGAAAATGCTGGTCCTGAAAGCAGAAGCGCAGGAATCACCTGGAGGACAGGTGTATAGGGATATGCAAGTACGCCTCCTTGAGGTCCATAGAGGTCATGAAGTCGCTCCGCTGTAAGGCTTGTACAATGTGGCGGAGGGATTCCATCCGGAACTTCCTGTGTGCCACCCATCTGTTTAGACCTCTCAGGTTCAGGATCGCTCTCCAATCCCCCGACTTCTTTGGTACAATGAACAAAATCAAGTACACTCCCCGGAAGCGTTCCCCTATGGGCACTGCCTCTACGGCCCCAATCTCTAGGAGGTGTGCGATTACGGTCTGCAGCTGTAGCAGTCGTTCCTTGTTCCTTGGAACCGGAGATGGGTGGACGCTGTCGGGGAGCCTGCCAGTGAACTCTATCCTGTAGCCCTGGGAGATGATCTTTTGCACCCAGTGATCCGTGGTGGTCTGGCTCCAGGTCTGTGCGAAGGCCTGGAGCCAGCCCCCTATCAGGCAGTCATGCCGATTGCTTTTTGGAAGGGCCGCCTTTGTCCATCCTGTAGGCGGCCGCGGGTTTTGGATTGGGCAGTGATCTGTGGTGGTCTGGCTCCAGGTAGGTGTGAAGGCCTGGAGCCGGCCCCCAATCAGGCAGTCATGCTGATTGCTTTTTGGGAGGGGCACCTTTGTCAGTCCTGTAGGCAGCCCCGGGTTTCGGATTAGTTCTTGTGCTGTACTTGAAGAATTTGAAGGGCCTGTGGTCTCTGCC